TAATTAAATTACACCTATATTAATAATCTGGAATTAGCAATATTAGTATTGCACATTTCAGAGTCATTTTTTACAATCCAATTCCACAGACTTTTTTTAATTTATTAACTATTAATTAAAAAAAATTTGTCTCGATCCGTTAAAACGGTCTGCTAGCTATTTTTGAACAGTAAATTTATATTTGTCTTCACTGTGTGCTGGTTACGGTACCGGTAATAATAACTAAGAGTGGCATCTGGTTTTGCGGTACACAGCCAACATATACAGTTAATTCGACCGTTCGAAAATTCTTTATAGCTAGAATATGATTACACGCATTTCACTCGAACTCAAAACAATCGTGTTGTGTCTAATCGTCTTAAACGCGCATCCTCGCGGTAGGTCGATAGACACAGGCGCACACGAAGTTGATTATCCCAGCATAGACAGCCTCTTTTAGTTTTTGAAGTTTTCTTTGTGTTTTCTTTCTCTTCCATAATACCGAGAGTATATCGAATATATGAAGTCAATCAGATATAATATACAAAAAAATGAAATATAAAGCGTTTCCATTCTGCTTAGATTAGTTCGAATTTGAATTGATTTGAATTCTTTAATTTCACGTAACTAAATTAACATTAGCAAAGCGGTCAAAATGACTAATTTGTAATTAACAAAAAAATTGCTCAAATTTGTAATACTGTATTTTTTACTTGCAAGACTTTAGTTGCAATATGTAAACGATTACATTGATTAATTGATTAATGATTAAAGTGATAATTTACTTTCTCTTTTTAATCCCCTTTTTTAAAGATATAAAAATAATATAATTATAGAATAGAAATTTTAATTTTCAATAATTCTAATATTAATCCTTTGAGTGGTGTGATTTTGCTCGATAATTTTTCCGTGATAAATTTTTTCAAAAATAATACAAAATAATAATCATAATTTAATTAAATTTATACGACAAACAAAGATACAAATAATAGACCTAAGTAAGATAATATAAAATATATTAATATAATACATATATAAAACATTAGAAGTAAAAATATAACTGTTAGTGCTCACTCTAAAATGGAGAATGTAAATATACCGTACCACTCAAAGGGCTAAGCTTCAATTTTGAAAGATTAGTAGATAGAACACAACTGAGAATTTGATAATTATTATTGTTATTGCCACAATTATATTGCACTTATTATCAACGATTACGCTTTTAGTCAAGTTATCTGTAATATCAAAGGGCAATAGAAAATCATGTAAAAATCGTCGGCGGTGCCGAATATAACTATAAGGAAGAGACATCGGCAGTAGTGAGGCTAAAAATCCAACCAATAATTGGACTAACTTGGTCCAACTACACCGACAGGAAACTCTGGAGTAAATTGAAAACTTCCAATGACATTAAAGTCGCATTAGTAGGGACTAAGCAGGAAGCGGAACGACTTTTGACAGTCCATTTGTTTTCACGTGTGGATTACATGTCAAAAGGACCGACAGTGAACTTTCACGCGGTCTTTTAATCTCGCTCTATGAGAAAATCATGCCGATGTCACATATTTGTGTCATCATAAAAAATGATGGGTTCTATGCTGAAATAACAACGAAACATGTAATAATCGCTTTTTAATAAAGAAGCGTATTATAAATTATATATAGAAACAAATGTTTAAGATATAAAAACATTTATGGTATAAAAAAATATTTTTCTTATACAACAAATCTAAAAAAATATTACTTTCAAAAATATTTAAAAATAAAAGAATCCGAATTAAGCTTCAAGGATTAGTATAAAGAATAAACTCCTATTTTTCTTTGGATTATTTTCACATATCAGTTTTATAAAAGAATTTATGAATTAATAAAAATTGGATTGACCAAGCAAAATTAGGATTATTTACATAGAAAACGACGGTGAGATAAAAAGTAGCAGATAAAAAGACTCTTATGTCATCGACCAGAAGCGAGGATCCCGCTTTAAGATTGCTCTTCGATTAGACCCACATTCTGCGCATCGGTTTGATTAATCGCCGTCCCTCGGCCGGATACATTTTCGCGCATAAGGTTTTATGAAGATATTAACGAAGGGTCGTTTTCGGTAAGCGGCCATAGCAAGCCGTAAGCGGACGCGCGCAAAAAGGAGCAGCAGGTCGGTGCTGGTTTTGGCGCTGCCTAAGACGCCTGAGCCGACCACCGATCGTACGACCGATAACCCGGTTAACCCCACCAGTCTGTTATTATAATATTTGCCGAGCCGAAATATAGTGATTGCTTATTTGCTCGAGCCCAATTACGTTCAAGCGCGCGCCGGCTAAGGGCCCGCGCTACGTGACGACGTGTAGGGGGATAGGTACGAGAAGAAGGTGCACTTAGTCCCGAACGAACCCGACCAACCACCCACCCCGTATCCTATCTACCTGCCTCGGCTAACGTCGGCGACGTTATAACGATTAGGTTCGCACGATCAGATACAGACGGGTGTAATGTCTATTATTGCTCGCGGAGAACGCGTTACGTCGAATGTTTCAGCGATATCGATAATTTTTCCATGAAAAATCACGCCTTTTCTTTTCTCGTTAACGAGTTCGAGCTTGAAGAAATGAAACGAATCGTGAAAAAACGTAAAGAGGAGCAGCTATTTTACAAAATCATGGCACCTTTGCAAAAAAATTATATATCCGTAGAATACAAACTAACAGTAGTATTACATCAATATTATAATTTTCTACTTAACAATATGTAATATAATAATAAATATAACACTTACAATACTTAACAGTTACACCGTTGAGTAGGAAAATTATAACATTGATATAATATTATTGTTAGTTTGTGTTCTGCGGGTAATTAATTTTATTTTATTTTTATTTAAATACTGATATCGTATATATGCATGTATTTTCTTCATTGGCTGGTCAATATTACGATAAAAGAACTTAATAAGATATAAATTAATAATGTTGTATAATAATTCGGGAACAAACTTATAATACCACAGTCGCTGTAAAAATGTTGTATTATAATACATGAAGACATATTCTCCTTACTTTCTGTATTCAAATATAAAAAGAAATAAGAATTCTTGATTTATTTATGGTTTCCATAGTTTTAGCAAACCGTCTTCGCTGTAAGAACATAATAAATTTTGATGGGGATGATGCGCCAAGCCGATTACATCCTTCTCGTGTATCTAAAAAGGCCGCGACGCTGTTAATCGGAATAAACAAATATTATAATGAAACATAAAAGGATACTCACATTGAGCGTTCTCTCGAGCTTTCCCGACGACGTGGAAAAACAGTACAGTACGAGATCTTCACCAACGCAATAAATAAACTCCCCACGCGGACTCACCACTGTAGTTACAAAGTCACCTCCCTCTCGTTTACCGCTGGAGAACGATCTCACTATTTGCCCTTGCATATTCATAATTACTACCGTGTTAGAACGATTGCACACGACGAAGTGTTCCGGATTTCGAGGAAGGGTGTGTATACTGTTCACTGTGAGATCAGCGGCTCCCAATGATTTGTAAGTGCCTATGCATTCGGTGGTCTTCAAGCTCCAAATTTTCACGGTTCCATCCGACGAGGCGCTATGAAATAAAGAATGACACTTATTTATTTTATTTAAAAAAAACAGGTTTTTTTCTCGTTTATATAATAATAATATACCTAATTATATTATGACCGTCCGAAGAAAAAACAACTTCGTTCACGAACGAAGAGTGACCGCGAAATTCCTTGAGAGTCTTTCCAGACTTAAGACCGTGTACCCTACGAAATTTATGAATGAGATTGTTAATAATATTTTATTTATTGTTAAAGTATATTTGAAATGTAATTCATTTATATTTATATTACCTTATACTAGTATCGAACGAGGCTGACAATATTTGACTGTTATCTCTGCTAAACTGTAGGCAAGTCACGCCTTTTGAATGCGCCTTCTCGAATTTCCTCAAACACAGTCCACTTTGTACCCTCCAAACCTTAATTTTACCATCCTGACCACCACCCGCCAACATCTCGCTGTCACGACTAAACGACATTGACAGGACCGCTTGTTCCATCATCATAAAGTTGTCTTGCGCCTGATATTTCAAGTCTTTTCTAATTTTACCGGTCGTGAAGTTCCACACCTCAATAAAACCGTCCACTGAACCAGTCACCAAATATTGGCCATCGGGCGAAAAACGCGCGCACTCCACGTGTGATTTCTGACCGAATTTGATTTGTTTCGACAATTGCGTCGGATATTTCTCGTCTTCTTGGTCACGAACCGCCGCTTTTCCTCGGAACAAGTCTATCGTAGTGCCAGGTGGTAGTAGACCCTGATGTTGCTGCCACTTTAACGCTTGTCCCAACAGAGCGAGCAATCTGCTGGATGGTACTACTGACACTTCGCCAGCAAGAGCGGTGGCTATGTACGCTCTCCGTTTTTCCTTCGTGCTTCCATCGGGATATGCCTCGCGCGGATCGAAATACGAACGTGCAAGTAGATTCTCTGCAATTAATAGATATATAATATTACAAGCAACATTAACAATAATTATAAAATAAAACTTTTAATTAAATGTGATAAACATATACCTAAATGAATGTATCTCTCAGGTTCTTGTTGCTTCATCATAATCATAGGATCAGTCTGTCTTAATAAAGACCGTGCTGCACCTAATTCTCGTAGTTCAATTAATTCTAAAACAACCTAAGATAAAATAAAATCTGTGAGTTTTGCAAGAAAATATAACAATATATTATAAATATTTGATTTAGCGCTTTGGAAAAATCTATATATTACAGATTTAAAATAGATTTGTTTTCAGCCGAATATTTTGTACAATTCTTCTTTCCTCTTTTCCTTTCCACATTGGAGAAAAAAAAGGAAAAGATGAATAGTGCAAGAAAACGTTAAAAAGAACAAGACCCATTGTTTACAGGACATACTTAAGAAGGATATTATATTATTTTTAATACATAATTTTAATTTAAGGTATCTACCTGTTCGTACAAGTCTATGAGTTTCTTGTCAGGTAATTTTAATGACTGTATAGCTTTCAGAACTGTGTCCCAATGGCCATTATTTATATCCGCAACAAATCCATCCACACTGTCTACAGTATTCAGCGACACACCAGTTTCCTCCTGTATACAAAATAGATTAGTAAGCATGCATAAAAAAGTACTATCTCTATTTTTCTCAGAATTTTTATACAAATTAAAACACTTTTCAGAAATAGAGTCTACATCTCTTTTCTAGAATTTTTCATAAACCTGAATTTCAAAATTTTCTAAAATTTCTAATGATAAATTCAGTTATTCTATACATTGAATTAATACATGTTAAAGTCTGCTATATAAAGTATCTAAATACAATGGTATAATATAATCAACATTGACAACAAAATAATACACATATATTTTGTTAAATTATATGAAAAATTCTGACAAAATTTCATCAGGATAAAACGTTGAGAAGAAATTACCTGTAAGGTTTGCAGTGTCTTGACAAGATTTGATTCCTTAAGATACTGCTGTATCAATCGGATCACACTGAAAAACAATCAAATACATTACACGACATACAATTCATATTTCTAACAATCTAGTAGTCAGAATATCATCGTACTCACTCGGCAGACTCTATTTCGATCGACATTTCTACGTGTCTTGCTATTCAGGCACGTAGAACAACTTCAAAGGTTATGTTCCTAAGCAACCTGCGATGTCTGATGACACGATTGACCGTGCATCCGCATTGTTCACGAATATGACGTGGAAACGAAATGATCGCAGTCGTCAGATCGTAATCAAGTATCGGAGACGCGTCCGTCGCCTGTGTGTTCTCCGAGGAAAACAATCGCTCCGCGCAAAGTCAAAACTCTCCGCACAGCAATACCTGCCAAGTGCCGGCCGCTCTCGTCAGATAGCGTTACGACGGCACCGTGCTCCAGATTCTCTTCTACCTAGTCCATCCTGGTCCGCAGCGTCAATAACACACGGGCTACATAAATAAAAATGCGGCTATTTAAAATTGGCTCTTTGGCAATGTGAGAACCGCGACCTTTAATTGGGCCGTGAGTATCGCGGGACATCCGTTTCTTATCCCTCGCACTCTTAATTCTGGAGGCTGCGAAAAATCGACCCCAACGACCCGCAGTGCTCTCGTATACATCTGCCAGAAAGTATGATGGCAAAGTAGTTTTTTTGTTTTTCTTTTTTTATTTGTACCCGTTGTATTGTGTTCTTCCAAAAATCCTATTACATTAATTGTTTAGCATTTAAATTCAGAGATACGTTATGGAGCATTTCACAGAACTGCACGTGTGTTGTGTGTAAAGCTATGTCCTTACTGGAGCAACAAGGCAGAAATTTTTGTTACCTGCTGCCTCTCCGAATGTTTCCGAATTCCAAGTATCTTCTTTCGATTGAAAACACGCGACAAACAGCAACTTTTCGCTGGTGATAGAAACATTAATAAACTTTTGGCAATAAACTTCTGCCAATTTTTCAAGAAACATCAACAAAGTAGAACATCAACAAAGTTTCTCGTTATTACTTCAGTGAGGACATAGGCTGTGTTTCAAAATGCACTAACAGTGTTAAAAATCTGTAGTGTACTCTTTAAATTCTTTGGAATGGAATCTTATTCTAAAAAGAGAAAACTGAACCAGTCTTGAAAAAGAATGGTTCAAATTTTATTCCATTTTTAGCTATAATGTAGATTAATTTTAATCTTGATTTAATTTACTTTTAATTTTTTAGTTCTAGAATTAGAAAAAGATACAAAGTAAATTAATTCGAGATTCAAGTTAATGTACATTGCTAGAAATGATCCTATGAGTGAGATTTCATTTTTCGAAGTGAGATTCATCTAAAAATTTTAAAGAATATGTAAATAATATAAACTATATTTTCAGTGCTGACAGTGAATTTTAAAACACAGCCATAATTTACATGCTCTACTCATTTTCAGATTCAAAGTGCAGATTTTTATATTTTTTAGATTATCGGCGACCTTCCTATAATCATGAAAGTCAGTCTTCTGACTTTTGCTATTCTGCTTCCAACATGGGCCAACGCGATTGTGTGTCCGCAGCATTGCTTGTGCAAACCTGTCGGTGCTCAAGCTGAATGGTTACGTCTTAAATGTAGCGATGGCTTAGAAGAAATTAAAGATGTAGATGTTAACAAGGTCAACGTGGAACTTATACAATTGTAAGACTGTTCTATATATATCTTCTATGTTTTTTGATTTCCGACAACAGTGCGATAATAGTCGAATTAATTACAGAGATTTGAGCAAAAATGTCATTTATGTTGTTGAAGTGGATGCATTTAAAAATTTGACAAATCTCAGACGGCTTGATTTATCGAAAAATAAGATTATTTCTATAGGCGAGGGTTGTTTTAACGGTTTGGCAAACTTGGAGCGATTGTAAGAATTCGTACATAAATAAAAACTCATCTGCAACTCATTTGCTTTTTATGCCTGCTTTTATTCATAAATTAACTTTACTTTTGATTCAGTTTAGTCTACATCTTTTTCTAGTTCTAAAAATGAAAAAAAGATGAAGACTAAGTTGAATCGAGAGTAAAATTATTCTATACTGATGGAAATGGGCACTTATATAATTCTATAATCTTATAAAACTCGTAATTTCAGGGATTTGAGTCAGAATCAGATATCAATAATAGATAGTTATGCATTCAAAAAATTACCGAATCTCAAAAGGCTGTAAGTCTAGAATGAATTAATACATTTGAACACAGTTTTCTTATAGAGATATTTCTTTCTTATGCATTTTTTTTGCTTTGTTGCTCTAGTGATTTGTCTGGAAATAAAATTACTACTCTGACGCCGTCCTTATTTCATGATTTGTTGACCTTAGAGCGTTTGTAAGTTAAAGCGAAATTTATTTACGCTAGCAAATATTAATTTTACTAGATTTCTATGTATATATATTATTATATACAAATCTACTTTATATATAATATACAAATACATGTATCTATTTATTTTAGGAAATTAAATGGAAACAGTTTAACTACTTTAAAAGAAGGCACATTTCACGGGCTTAACATGTTAAAACAGCTGTAATACAAATTTCTATTTATTTTTTAATTAATATATCTATATAAAATTTATAACGTTTATGTATATTTCAGAGATTTGTCTAATAATCCTTGGAAGTGTGATTGCGACTTATATTGGTTTAGTAATTGGATCTACAATTCTTCAATTAAATTGAAGTAACGTATATTGCGCATCTCTGATCAATTACGATTACTTACGTAATCTTCTGTTCTTCACGTTTAATTTAATATTTCAGTCTAACGCCAAAATGCTCGTCGCCAGCGTTTGCCAAAGGGCAATCATTGAAGAAATTAAAATTCTGGGACGAGCTTCAGTGTCAGTGGATGTCGCCGGCAATTGAAATTCGTCCAATTCAAAACCAAGTAGTCTTCGCTGGAGATTCGATTACCTTAAAGTGCAGAGCACCTAGCGTTACTGTAGATAAAAGTGCCAGATTGAATTGGTTGTGGTATCCTAATGCGTCGGCCGAAATCGTGGACTTGAATTCTTATAGAGATCCACGAAATTTACCTAATATTAAGGTTGACAACAGGTATCTACCGGATAGCGGTATTGTGGATAGGTAATATAAAGTTTCTCAAATTGCCCTAAAAAATATTACGTATTTAACTCATAACTGAAACATATGAGTCCTGACGAAGGGAGATCTTTGAATATTTTCCTAATTTTTAAATAGTATAATGATTTGTGATAATTTTGTTTTATTCATATAGGCTAATTATTGTATTACATTTATGCTAAGTTTAAGTGTTGCAATTTTTTATATGGATTAAAAATTTTAAAATTTATAAAATTAATAATAAAAAACTTTAACTTAGTAAGTTTCAAGAACCCATATGTTTCTTTAGCGTCACAACAAATATATATTCCTATTATGGATTATTAATAATTATTATATAACAATTAAAAATAGAAATAGAATAGAAATTATTATATATTCTTTGCGTTGTTTCTTAGTGCTCTTAGTATTGTCCCGATCAAGGAGGAACATAACGGACAATGGAATTGTTTATTGGTTTCTGTAAATGGCAACAAGTCGAAAGCAGTCAGTGTCATCGTAATATCCGAGCATACGCGTTATTGCCCTCTAGCAGGTAATTAATTGAATCTTGTAGCATTAAAGAATCATTAATCATGTCCTCTCCTTTTAGTAACGAAAAATAACAAGGGCATTTATACGTGGCCTAAAACAATAGTTGGATGGAAAGCGGAATTGCCGTGTGAAGTCGATCGTCTCTCGGGCTTGATGCAAGCGCCTTTAAAAGCTTTTTATCACTGTAACACGAGCGGTCAGTGGGAGCGTCTAAATACGGAATCATGTCCATACATATCTCATACAACGAAAATTTTAGAGCAATTTTCGAAAGTTAATCTGTCCTTAACGAAAAGCAGTCTGCTGGAGACAGCCAAGAGATTTAAAAATTACACGGGGAACGGCTCGGTGAAGTTAACAGATCCGGTTGAAATCCATTTCATCGTGCGAACTATAGAGAATTATTTGAATTTCTTAATAGATGAAAAGGAACTTGGAATCATGTTGGTCGACATCGTCAGTTCGATGATGAAATTGCCGAAAGAGATGTTAAAGAGAGCGGAAATAAATTTCAAAGCCTGCACGAGACTGATCAAAGCAATCGAACGTATTACAGAACTTACATCGTCCATACAATCGCATAAAAAATACATGGCACTCGAAGAGTTTCGAGTTAAGCGCGACAGTTTCGGCGGATTAACATGTACATGGTACACAAATATCGCTGCGAATGCCGATTCGGACGCGAGATTTCTGCACTGCACAACAATTAACCGGACGACGCCGATCAACACAAAGGACAAGGCAATAGAGGCTTCCATTCAATTACCTGCCTCTTTGCTGCAACACTCGCAAGACAGTGCAATAACTCAACAGCTTATGATATATATGTATAGCGACAGCAGGTTCTTTCCTAAGACGATTGCAAATGATAGCATGGACATATCAACGTGTATTGTCGGCAGTAAATTAAGTGAGTCGAAAATCATAGCATGTAAAATTTAGATTCCATTTTTTTAACCCTTCGAAGCTGACGTCAAAATTTGTAACTCTGTTACAAATTTTGACGTGATGCTGAATCTGTGAGCTCCATTTAATTTATGTTGATTAAAAGACACTAATTAATTTCAAGCAACCCAAGCAACCAAAATAACATAATTTAAATAAAAAAGAATGAATATTAAATTCATTTTGATAACAATAATTCAAATTTGCAGATGTGACATAAAAATATAATTAAGTGGATTCAATAGACTCACGTTAGCTCCGAAAGGATATAGTTGAATGGGTCCAATAGATCCATCGTCAGCTCCGAAGGATAAATAAGTTGTGTAATTTTTTGCAGTTGGTACATCAGTACGAAATCTGTCCGAACCGGTCTACATTATGCTGAAGGCGCCGTTGTATCATTATAACGGGAAAAGGCCGAGACCAGTGGTATGGGATGAAACATTGAACAATGTAGGAGGATGGACCAGTGATGGATGCCATTTAATTAACCTATTAAGTAATAGTCTGATAGTTTTTC